GAAGATCCAGACTGATGATGACATCTTTCCCTCTGCTGAGTTGTATTGCCTTAACATCTCAATACCATCAATGCAGCCATTCATTGGAAGGCACTTGGATTTTCCCCATACCTCTCATCTTACTGTTTCTACTGTATACTGATTGACAATTACAATAGTATAGACTATGACTCACTTCATGTCTCTAAATTCACTCAATCCAATGATGTTCGATTTCACCCTTCCAACTAACGCAATACCAGAGAGTTAAATAATTACCTCGGACGCGTTGTCATCGATCAATAGTTTGCAACAGTAGCACTCATGCAATCCCCAGCAGCATCTTTAAATAGTAGGCTTATTGCCCATCGGTAACCAGTAGTAGTAATAACACAACGAAGAGGCACCACCGCATGTTGGTAATGCAACCCTCCATTGCTGATGACACATGCAATTAGAAGCATTTACGATGCACAATAGTAGGTCCAGATTCGTCATACTCCTGCTTAGAGATCCACATCTGCTGGAAGGTCGACAAAGAGGACAAAATAGAGCCTCCAATCCAGACAGAATACTTGCGCTCAGGTGGAGCCACGACCTTGATCTTCATAGTAGAGGGGGCCAGAGCAGTGAGCTCCTTAGTCATTCTCTCACCGATACCATTAAACATCGTAGTGCCTCCAGAAAGGACAACATTGGCGTACAGATCCTTCCTGATATCCACGTCGCATTTCATGATAGATTGGAAAGTGGTGTCGTGGATGCCGCTGGCCTCCTTACCAATGAAAGTGGGTTGGAAGAGTACTTCTGGACATCGGAAGCGTTCGTTACCAACAGTAATAATGTTGCCATCAGGCAACTCGTACGTTTTCTCCTTCTCACTACTCTCAGCAGCGGCCTTCATCTCAGTGTCAAAGTCAAGTGCGACGTAGGACAACTTCTCCTTGATGTCACGGACGATCTCTCTCTCAGCCGTAGTAGTGAAGGTGTAACCTCGTTCGGTCAAAATTTTCATCATGAACTCGGTCAGATCGCGACCAGCCAGATCGAGCCTCTGGATAGCATGGGGAAGGGCGTAACCCTCATAGATGGGAACAGTGTGACTAACACCATCACCGGAATCCATAACGATACCGGTGGTTCTACCGGAGGCATATAGAGACAGCACG